ATAGATGGGCTGGAACATGCTGCTGTCACATATTGCAGAGCATATGTTGAGTTTTCCTCGACTGATAGCATTGAAAATCAGCTAAGCATCACACAGACAAGACAATAGCATCATCATGCTTTGAATAGGGATTTTAGCAATGTTCGAGTCACTTTTGATGAACAAAGGACCAATTCAAAGGACAAAGGTCCCACTCAGCCACACTGCTTCAGAATTGCTCTTTCTCTGGTGCGATATTGTTGCTTTTATGCTTATCCACTGAGAAAAGAAAGTTAATGGATTCCTCATCTCTTCCATGGGAAACATCAATTGTGAAGATGTTTGGAGAAAACGCCCCCATGCTAGTTTGTGTGTGTGAGCAATCGATGCAATCCTGAGGTGTATTCTTTACAGAGTCTGTTCTAAAGATGTACCTTCTTGGTTTAACCCTTACATGGGGAATGTGTTTCACATTGCCACTTTTTTTCCTGATTAAAAAATAACTTTTACAACTATTATCCCACAATAAAGGGAATTAATGATTTAGGGAGAGAAAAACCACTGCTGCCAACTTTTCCTCTGAGCAAGCTGAGCTTCTGTTCGTTTTGACCTGACCTTGTTTTGATCAGATTGTCCTAACCGTAGACACAATGTTTGAGGAGCTGAGTGACTTAAAGGTTAGATAAGCATCATCGACATCCAAAATGTACGCTTGATTCCAGTTTGAGCTAGTGACTCTTAGAGACTGTTCTTCCAGGCTTCAACCTGTAAATGGGGCCTAAGTGTGTGTTTTTACTGTGTTTATTTTCTGCGGAATCTCCTATATCTCCCTTCTCAAAATCGGCCTTCTGATTTATGCTTCTTTTCTCACAAGCAGCCAACTATATTGAACTTACTGACACACAAGAACCCTGCAATAAACATAAACAGCAGTTTAATTTGGTTGAGCTAATCTTGGCAGGGTTAAATCAACACAATATTACAGACTGTAGCGGGGCTTCAGGATAACTCCTGCCCTCCCTGTAGAGAATACAGAATAACATTCTTGGATGGTTGTTTATTACCATGAACACAGCAGCCTTAACAGATGCCGAACACAGTACAGTGGGGCAGTACAATATATCACAACATTTCTTCTTGGATTGACCCCATTCCCAGTATACAGTGTTGCATATTATTTTACCGTGTCAACTTTACACACATACACTCCAGAGCATGCACACTACACACCCCACTAAAGCTCTAAGAAGCTCACAGAAACGTGAGGAACGTGCTCTGGCTGGGTAACAGTGGGATGGGCTTCTCTTCCATTGTGGGCTGTTGTCGTGCAGCGAGTCATGCGCACGGCACAAATAGGAGTCTGACGCTTTCAGTCAAACAAATCGATCAGTCTGTGACCTTTGGCCTTTACCCTTGTTAACCCCCCGCTGCCACTTCTACCATCAGAAAACAGCCTCCAAGCAGATGGGATAGTTTGGGGGAGGATTTGTTGTCCCGGACATCCATGCTGTCATTCAAGCCTTTTTTCCCCCACTGTCCTGCAATTTCTTTTTCCCAATGTATCTCTCTTTGTCACCCTCTTAACTGGATTTATAGCCTCAAGTAAAAAATATTGATTTGGGTTCTTTTAACTCTAAATCAAACATTATATTCTGTGTGGGTGAAAAAAGAGAAAACCTGGGGCAAGAATCTTAATGTTGCCATCAATTATCTGTCTAATAACGTGGATCAATTCTTCGCAGAAGCCATACCACTGAAATAAACCATGTATCTTAACTCACATTCATTCATATCTGAGGCAGGCATACATTAATGACCAAAAGCTGTTATGTTTATTCATTTCTTTTAATGAAAAACACATATTACATTATTCCCTTTGAAATGGTCTTCTCCACTTAAGTCTTTATCCATCTTTGTACAATCACACTCACAAAATGCTCTCCCCTTTCAGCAAAGCCACAAAAGACAGACCTTAAAAGGAATCTGTGAGCCAAAAATCAACCAAACTTGATACTCATTTGAGTCTGCTTTACATTTAGAAAAGATTGTTATGATAATGGATGGATGGATGATTCTTCAACTATTTAAATTGGAGAAGTTTGAGAAGTTTATTGCATGGAAAAATACTACAAGGGTGAGTAAGACTGGCACGGTGGGGCTGCTGGGCAGCTGTCAGGGCATCTGGGCGCAGCAGAGAACAATTGTTCAACTGTAAAAGTGATTTGGCTAGAAGGCAAAAGTCCAGACAGAGGGATTTGTCTGTGAAGGGGATTTCATGAAGCTGCTGATTAGGTATCAAAGCTACAGAGGCAGACAAACTGGTTCGAAATAAGTCAATAACAGGGTCAAAAATTCTTTATCAATATATATCTCTATATGCACATTCTGTACAAACATACATACACTAGATGTACATACATTCAATAGGTCTGCATATGATAAGAGACAATGATGGATTTATACCCCAAACATGTGCAGGTGTAAGAAGAAACCACCCCCATCTCTCTGTTTCTTCCATTACTGCTGCTTTTCACACCTATTCGACTCAACATTACGTCATACACCCTTGACAGGAAATGAGATGCCACAGCTCAAGGCACTAGAGACTTCTCAATTTCTTCTGAAAGCCTTTTGTTTTATCCTCCTTTTTTCTGCATTGTGATGTTTTCTTTCTTTTCATAGACTAGAGGGACGGCATTGTGGATGTGGATACAAAGACAACATTAAACCCATCCACTACGTCTCCCATGCAACATCATGCAATATGGAGACCTGTCAAGGCAACTTTGAGTAAGTTTGTGTAGGTATATGTTGCCTCTGTGTGGTCTTTAATGGTATTGCAAATCTATTTCTGTCATTCACTTTCTCAGTTTATGGTGTGCGCAATAGATGTCAGTGTTTAACTGCTTAACTTCTCTTGCATGTGGAAGGGCAGCTTTCTATCATGGGAAATAAAGCATATTTTAACTTCAGCAGAAATAACCCATTGTTATGTCTTCCGAGATTGTTGTGCTTGCATAACTGAAACTGTCCAGAACTGAGTATTGTTTTCTGAAGCGCGAACAACTGCCTTAGTCAGTACCACCCAATTTTATTATCATAAGTTACCAATGTCAAGATTTTGCTCGATGAAATATAGTCTACTATAGTGAAAGCATAGTATAATATAAATATAGCGTTTCTACATAATCTGACATACTGCTCTCAGATGATTCTTAAAGATGTTTTAGTTCCAAAGCCCTTTCATAGGTTTAACTATTCATCAGAAATTCACAGTCAGCCTGATAAAAAAGCGTCTCTAATTGAATCAGGAGATACTTTGCTTAATAACAAATAGCAATTATTATAGTGTCATTGTCTTAAAATGTCATTGCCTTACTTTGCCAAAGTCTTGATTAAAAATTATTAAAAACATTTAAATCAGTTTAAAATGCTTTTGCTCAAATATTTGAAGTCAGAACTGACCAAATTACGTCACCTCAACTCATCTCTGAGAATTCTGTAATGTCTTCTTTAAAAGTACCAAAAAAAGGGATGAAAAACATCCAGACTTGGGCCACAGCACTTATTTCTACAGACCTTACTTTAGCTTTAATTGTCATGAAGGGTCAAAGGCTGAGCAGTTTCCAGAAGTGACTTGTCACTCTCAAACCACCACCAAGATGCGAATGCCTCCCCCTTACTGGAGCAAATAGCATTGTGAAAGCCAGTCCTCTCCTCTGACCCCTCTTCTTGAAGTTGCCCCTCTTTCCTGTCATTGATCCTTCAGATTCCTCTGACATTGAGGATATGTGTTAGAATTCCCTTCAAGAAGATAAAGGTATTTCAGGAGCCATTACTCCGGGCTTACCCAGAGCTTGTGTGTGAAATCTATCAATACATCAAGAGGCAGTGAAATGGATCATTAAACCCAGCTCTGCCTGGTGGGGACAGTGTGTGGTTCAAAGGTTGCCCCATTTCTTCTGGAGTATTCAGCTTTTTCACTGCACACAGTAGACATGGTCATGAGGTCAAATGAACGGCATTGATAAAAGAAGGAGCTCCAGCTTTTATGACGAGATCCTACTCATGGCAGGTAAGTTCTCAAAAGTTAGGGCTACCTAATTTTATTTTTCATTGGAATAACGTTTTGTTGACTTTGACTCCAACATATTTCTAATCTACCCCATGCACATAGCAATAATTGTTACACAGGTGGAAATGACATAATAACACTGACATATTTTTAAAGGCCCAAAATACCAGGAATGCTTTTATTAATCCAGTCTAAATCTAGATTGTTGAGGTCATTGCTACAAAGATACCTTTTAATTGCAGTTCTGCTTTTTTTCCTCTTGCACTTTGTTAACTGATTTTATGACAGCCTTTGCTGAAAAGGCAGTGCTACTCTGTCAGCCTTTGTTGAGTGTTTTTTTTATGCAGTTGAGTTATTAGAGTTGTGTGTTTATATATTTCTTCACCTCGGGTTTGTTTGTTTCAAAATTTTTTTGCTGTACTTGTGTGCACAAACAACTAAATATCTAAATCATTTTCATTTAAATGTATCACAATTTTCTGCACTGAACTTCCTAGACAGAATGAAAATGTTCCATATTCTGATTATTCAGCATTTTCTAAAATCATTATGATTTGTGAAAACCTTTTTTCCTTACTATTGGAAACTAATTGATGATAGTTTTGTCTTATCATCAACACAAGGAATGTCCAGAAAATGCAATTTATAATTTAAAATCCTCTTTTCTTCTTCAGGTAAAATGAAAGTTCTCAGTTTATTGCCAGTGCTCTTCACAGTATCAGGATTTTCATACGTGGTAAATCCTGGTAAGTATGTCATGGGTTCTTCTGTTATAACCTGTTGCTCAGATCTAATGTTCAAAACAGTATTATGTACCTGGAGAAGAAAGCATATAATGTATTTTGTGATTGGTGATTGTTCTTTGTTAATCCTCTATTCATGTTGTACAACAGCAGCAGAATTCACAACTGGACTGAAAAAAGCTGCCCAATCAGACAGCATAAGCATGCAGATTGAAGATATTTCCCCATCCGTTGAGCTCAGAGAAAATGGAAATGAAAACGTAGCTGCTGAATCCACAGAAATACAGGAGGAACAGACGAGGAACAGATTCACTTCAAAGACAGACCCCATGAGGGAGCCTGTCAAGAATAAAACGACTGTGGAGGAAATAAGGGGAGGAAATTTGCTAACTTTACAGTTGCCAGAAAAACAGATCATCAATCTGAAGGCAGAAAATGAAAAGACTCTAACCAAGAGGACAGAGGAAACCCTGGAGATAAATAAAAACAACGTAAAAAGAACAGAGGAAAGGCCAACATCTGCAACAACTTTTACTTCACAAAAAGACCCCAAAATGAGTGAAAAATACTCCAAGTCAGACAAAGAGGAATCAGTGGCAACAGACACTTTGGAGGTAACGAGAAACAATGATGATACCCTACTGCACAACTCCAATACAGAGCCACATGGTGAGAACAGCGAGGTCAAAACAACCAACATCCAAAATATATGGATAAATGGGGAAAGAAAACATGACGGCACAGATGTGAAATTAAAAAGACTTAATCAAACGGGGGGAATGAAGGAAGAAAGAGTGGAATGGGAGAGGGAAAGAAAACTAGTTATGGGGATTCATCCCGACATGACAAAAAGACGCACTTATGAAGAAGAAAACCCGTTCAAAGAAAAACTGGAAACTGCGGAGGAGGAAAAGGGAGATGAGAAAATAGCTGGAAAAAACATGAATAATAAAGAAGATCAGAGAGCTCTGAGCAACGTAACATCTCCTCCAAGTGCTTCCACTGCTCAATCTGAAATTCCTGCCACAATGCAAACCACAGAGACGGGGCGAACAACCCACACAGCAGAGCTCACAAGGCAAATAAACAGAGTCCATAAAGCAACAGAGAGGGAGTTTGTCTCCTGGTTGAAAGGAGCAAAGCCAAAACCAGAGGCGGCTAAATTTATAAGCGCAGATTTGCATAGGCAAGAGCCAAATCCTGCACAAAAATCAAAAGAAAACACAAACACTGCTGAAATGGTAAGCTTTGCACTAAAGCCAAAAACTAAAGAGCCCACGGTCAGGCAAAACAAAGCACCCCCTCTCCCACCACATGTGACCACATCTTCAGCCAGCACACCTTCAAGCATACCAACAAAACCCGGCAACAGCAGGAATACTAGGACAAAGGTGGATAAAAGGATTAGGGACGAGAAAATGCAAAAGCCACCTAACAGGAAGAACATCATTCCGACAACACCAGTGCACTTTCCTTACTTCATGGATGACTACTGTCCACCTGAGTGTGCCTGCTATGGAAGGTAAGGCTTTAAGGACACCCACAGGTGAATGAAGAAACTTGACAGTAAAATTAAAGCTATGCTATTTCGCTGGGGTCAATAATTCATTTACAAACATTAAGTTTTGAAATACTAACATTATGATTTAATCATTTAAATACAAAAGATATATGTAATTGACTGATAAAATTTCATGAAATTATGGTGACTTTAAAAATGTTTCTGATTATAGTTTTTTTAGACATCATAATGCATTGAAACCATTTAATCTTTTTCCATGTATTATTTTCCAGAGTGGTCCAGTGCTCGGATAAGGGTGTCAATAAAATTCCTTATGGCATTCCTTATAATGCCCGCTACATCCTTCTGATGAACAACCAGATTGACAGCATCCAGTTGGACTTGCTCAGTGAATATGTCTCCATGGAGTTTCTTGTATTAAGCAACAATCAGCTCAAAGACGGTACAATAGAGGGAGCTTTTGAGGGAGTTCCCGCTCTGAAGCGCCTCTATTTGGACAGGAACCTTCTTGAAAGTGTGCCAATCGACCTTCCATCTTCTCTTGAGGAGCTTCGCTTGGACAACAACAACCTGAAGTTGATGTCTGAGGCAGTCTGGACTCGCTGCCCTGGCCTCTTGGTCCTGAGCCTCAGCAATAACAGCCTGGGGAGTAGATCTGAATCTCTTCCCAGGGAGGTGTTCTCTCCTCTGTGTGAGCTGCGCACTCTGAATCTGGACCACAACCATTTAGGCTCAGTACCACAGGGGTTACCATTGTCACTCAAGGAGCTTTATCTAAGAGGGAACCTCATAGACCGGGTCCATGCCGGAGTTTTCAATGGGTTATCAGGGCTGATGGTTTTGGATCTGAGTTCAAACAGACTAACAGACAAAGGCCTTGTAAGAGAGTCCCTCCTAAATGCAACACACATAGAGAGCCTCAATCTAGAGGGAAATAGACTCAAACAATTCCCACGACACCTCCCTCCCTCACTCAAAACTCTAAGCATAGAGGGCAACTGTATATCATCTATAAGAAAGGCAGCATTGAGCAGACTGAAAAACCTAGAGCACCTGGGATTAGCAAGAAATAAGATCTTCAAAGTGGCACCAGGTGCGTTCAGGATGCAGCCCGTCCTTCACCAATTAGACCTGTGCCACAACAGCTTGCAGCAGGTGCCCCGGCAGCTGCCTCCAGGTTTGCACTTGTTAGCACTCACCCACAACAAGATTCAGTCTGTGCCTCGCGATGCTTTCTGCTGGGGCAATAAAAGTCTAAGTGGTCTTGTGAGAGTACAGCTGGAACACAATTTAATTGATATGGGAAATTTAGACACACAGGCTTTTAGATGCTTACGAGGATTCCAGGTGGTGCACTTCTAACGGAGTCACTGAAGCTTCAAAGGAGAAGATTCTGAAAATGAAATGGTCCCTTTTTTTCATTGTGCCGAAGCTTTTTGGTAGACGCAGAGCTGTCAGAGGCCGAAAGTAAAACAGAATAAGAAATGTGTGAAATTCAATTCGTTATTTGTTAAACACCCAAATCTCACTCTGACTATTTTATGGCTGTTGTTACTAGCTTTTAGAAAGAATTTAGAAAGACCTTTAGAAAGAGTGGTTTGCATGCAAACCAAGAATTTGTAACGTCTAAACGTTTATCTTTTCAGCAGAATTCATCCAACGCTCTGTGCAGAATGGTGGATGAGATTGAGGGAATAAACTTCAAATGTTCGAATTATGGTGTTCATTGTGTACCAGTTGGATTGATGCAGATTTGTTGGTATATTCCTCTGTTTGTCTTAAATAAATAAGCTATCTGGGGTTAGGTTGAAGCTTTCTCTGCAGCACACCAACAAAGACAGTTTCCCATACTGCAGTCGGAAAAAATCACAAGATTTGAGTTCACGTTTGTCAGAAGGGATGTTAAATATATTATGTCAATCCAATAAAGTTCCTCAACTAATTGAGATCTGCACTGAGACATTCTGGTGTTTAGTTTTATTTCTTTTGTGTGAGATTGAGTGTGTGTATGGGTGGATGGGTGCAAGCAATATCTTTACACCATGATAAAATGTTTTCTTTGTTTTTTTTTTAGCTTTGCTCAAACTGGATTTGACGTAGTTTGCATCACAATCCCTGTCTGCTATTTTCCTAAAAGACCAAAAATAAACACTGGACCAATGAAATGATCCACAAGAGCATTTTAATTATTTTTTCTGGAATCAGTTTGGTCAAAATGGGTCCTTTAACGGCATGTTCATGCAGTGGCAAAGCTGCTGGGGAATTCATCCCAAGGACCAGAAACTCTTTCGATCTTTCAGGAGCTATGAAATAATAAAGGATGACAAAAGGATCGTGATGATTATTGGCTGTGTGGAATAAACAATATCCCCTGGATGGTTATATAATTCTATACGTGTAAAAAACAGGACCACAATCTTTTATACCCAAATCTTTGTAGCCTGTCTACAATTTCAGACTGTGAGGTGAAAGAAACAGAAATGTAATAGTTTTGAACCTTTGTGTACATTTTTGAATCAGCCCTTTTTCCAAACAGCTTTTATGCACATGCCTATACAAAAGGAAACAGATGTGTTGCAAAAAGTCAACCGTTCATTCCACAAAACTGCCACTAGATGTCATCAACATAAAGGAAGAAATCTGCCCAGAGGAGCTCTGCTTACCATCTGTGAACCCAGATAGAAGAAAGTTTAGAACTTGGCGTGTTTCCAGTTGCCAAAGGAAAAGATTGTGACAGTTTAAATGCATATGCTTCAGGAAGCTCATATTGTGGTGAAAGCCAGTTTATCTGCAGCTCACACCTCACTGAAAACTTTCACATGTACACACGTGGTTTCTGGCATGAGTCAGATGGACATTTTCCAGGGGAAAACATTCATAGCCAGTGGCCATATTCAACCCTCTCACAGTATCGCTAAACATATAGTTGAATGTTAGGTCATTTGTCATGACAGAGAATCAGCAAGAAAGCTGTCAAAAATGGAAAAACAGCAGTCCACGTTGAGGTGCTCAGCACTTTTCTCTCTTTCCCCTCTCTCCCTCAGTCTAATAGCTCATTGAGCGACGTGGCACTGCACCCACAAGGTCTGGGAAAGGAGAGCGGGAGGAGGGGGTTAGAGGGGAGGGGGTAAAAGGGAGGGCTTGAAGGATGAATCCAGGCTCATGCGGAGTGTGTCCAAAAGGGAAAGCTTCAGCTTTAGGAGAGAGCTCACCAGCACCTCCCTACGGTCCAGCAGGACCCTGACCCGTATCATCTCACACCTCATAGGCGAGAAACCCTCTTCCCTTATTTCTGTCATATTCCCCCCTCTATTTTTCCTCTCTAAATTTCATTTTGCACGCGCTTATTCTATCATCTAATCAATTTACGCGTCTTTGCCACCTTTGTGAATACAGTACCTGCAAAACCTTTTGCAGTTGTCTGGGGTACTTGTGTGAGAGACGTAGTGATCATGTGAGCTGTCCCCTTGCTGGTCTGAGCTCATGTGCTCCTTTAAGCCATTTGGCAGATGGCTGAACTTATATGTGTGCTGCTGTATCATGTGCTGAATGAAAATCTGCACAGAGACCAAGTCTGTTGCTTTTCATTCTTTATGATTTCACCATGATTAATAAAGTGAAGACCTTGATCCAAATCAACAGCCCCATTAATCAACTGTTACCCTTTTTAATGGGGGCAGATTTTCAGGATGCCTCCAGCTGTATTCCCTGGCATTAATAACGGTTGCATGTGTTTCTGCGTCGGGATTTTTCAAAAGTAGGAATGCTCCAGCTGAAAAAGCTAATTCTGAACCTCTCTTTGATTCTGTTGGTCCGCAGCTGACCAGATTCATTAAAATCCAACCGGAATCAGACCACGGAAAGAGAGAATAGGAAGGCAAAAAAGAAGATGGAACAGGATATTAAACCACACCCTGCATACAAACCAGCCAGACGGACGGACAGACAGGCCAGCTGAGCTGTGGGATGATTCAGCTATTGCTCTGGCTTTCATCTTTCTAAAACCGGGATCTTCATTCAATGCATCAGAAGTTCAGAGATATCAGATCATCTGTTTCTGGCCTGTGCTTGTGTCAGTGGCTCCGAATTGAAAAGTACTTTATAGACATACTGCCTTTTAGATAAAAAGTTTAATGAGCAACTGGATACATTTTACAGAACACATAAATAAAGTGAAAAAGTAAATATATCTTTCAGCAAAGGATAAGATTAGCAGCTCACAGTATTACTGGTGTAGGAACACAAGCTTCTTTTGTGTTCCAGGATGTTTGTCCATGTGTCTCTGTTTTACCTTCTTGCCAACACATACACACACACACACACACACACAACATTTATTATCCCATAGAACACCATGAGAACTTGTCATTGGGTTTCAAAGGGTTAAAATGTATCTCTAGAATCAGAGCAAATTGCTTTATCAAGAGTAAAAGAGAGGTGGCGCCTCAGTTAGGCAAGAGAAGGGGATAAGAAGGAGAAGGGCTGTAGGGAAAGAGCGAGGGTAGAATGTTAGGGAGGAGGGGATTGAGAGAGAAACCATGGGAGCCAAAGGGACCTCTAGACAAGCAAAATGGTCTGGAGCTATTCAGACAACACACATGTGAACTTTAGTCATGTGGTTCACAAATTTTGCATTAGGCCATGCAAATATGCAGACTGCCATGCATCATCTAATTTTACAGTTCTGCATATACAGAGGAATTAGGGCACATCCTTAACACATACACAGGCATGCAAACCAACTCAGCACGATTCTCCACAAGGGGGCCCGTCCAGATCTGCAGGGATGATGGCATTTTTTTCTAAAGCTGCATCACATGAACTTACATAGTTCAGGGTATCCACAGTGTGATAATTTGCCATGAATTACTAGTCGATGTTAAATCCTTTACTTTGTCATGGTCCCTGTAAGGATATAAAACAGCTTTTCCCAACTCCCCCCCCCCCTCTCTTCCTTCTCCAGCTAAAAAAAATTCTTGATCGGTCTTCATCCATTTTAGTGCAAAGACTAACACACTACTTCCAGTAATGAATAGCCTTGAACACCTACTTCAAACACCAGAATAAAACCTAATTTTCAAAACAGCAGGAAGTAATGAAATATAATGGCGCAATATTAATTGTCAGTTTGAGTTTGGGGAATAAATGCACACGCGTCAGACATGCCAAGTCGTTAAAACAGCTCGGAGTTGCTCAAACGTTCCATCCCAAACCTGGAACACTGTGAGATGATTGAGTTTACACAAAATAAGACTGCCAGCTCACTGTCTACTTGCATTAAATATGATGGCTGTTTACCATTAAGTCAATGCCTGTTTAACTTTCAGCATTTCCTGGTGGTGGCCATTTGTTTGAGGCTGTTTGCACATGCACTCACAAACAGTAATCATGGCACATGTAAGGAGCAATCCCGGGGTCTTTCCTCTTCAGGTTGAAGACCACTTTGATTATTTTTTAAAGTTCTTTTCATTTCTGAGTACACTGCAAGTATGTTTAAACTGTTTATTCCACCAAGACCCAGTTCTTTATTTTTCATTGTTGCTATTTGAGTATTTTATGAGTTCAATATTTTTCCTGTCATATACATTTTACGCACATCTCAGCTATTAATTTTTACAGTTCAAGTCGTATAGCTTTTTCTTTTTACAAGTAACAGACATGTTTATGCTACAAAGAATTTCTACGAAGAACAGCGAGTTATCTTCATTATCAGACAAAAAATTTTATGCAGATAAAGATATGAATAATAAAACAGTTTCTGTTCATTTGACCAAGTGACATTGTCAATGTCCATCCATGCTTGTCCATTTAGGTAACTATGACAACTGATGAGAATAGAATAAAAAAGGGTTAACATGACACAATTTAATTTATAGCATTGAAATATTTGAGTCTGAAATCCATCCACTTGAAATTATATAGTCTAATGGCACATTGTTTAAATCTCCAGAACTTAATTTCAAGTTGTACCAGCTTGTACCAGTGATTTTCTTTCTTTTTGGAACTGCCGTCCATACTTAACTCACCCCAGTTTTTTTTTTCTGATGCACAACAAAGGCTAATCCTCTGTGACTTCAAGGCTATTCCCAAAAGAAAATGACCCTCCTGTGTTTGCTTTCCGACAAGTTGGCATTAAATTATCATTTTTTAAGCATGTAGATTTCAACATACTTTTGTATGAAGAACAACGATTTTTGCAAAAATAATCAGGAGCTGCTCTGCACACTGAAAATCCACCTGAGGTGCTTACAATTATGAGCTACCCTCTCCAGGCCTTGATATATACATTTAACTCTTATCCAGCAAAGACACACATTCATCTTTCTCAACCTGTTATATCTGAGGGATTCAATTTGATTTAA